CTACCATGGTCGAGGTATGTATATTCAGGATCCGCTCGGAATGGTCGCCGGTCCATGGGTTCTAGTGGCCTTAATCTGCCCACTAGAGTGTGCACATGGTAACCGGTATTATTTTGCCGGCAGATGTTCATGTTTCAGTTACGCGACTTATGTCGCGAGATTCAGATATCAGTTACGTGGCTTATGTCGCGAGATCAGACCGGTATCATGTTTCATGTTTCAGGCTTCATGTTTCAGTTCAGTTGTATATGCTTAGTTCATGATATGGTTATTATTTATAATGTTTTACATTAGCATGAGTTTCTGCGGAGCACAAGTGTTTTAGTGCTCACGCCCCACATCTTTCATGTTTTTCAGGACGCAGGTCGGGGATGAGGAGTGAGCGGGCGAGCTGTTCAGGATATTTGTGATTTATGTACTTGTATTTTGCCACGCTTGTTTCCGCTAAACTTTCAGAACTTTTGTCAGAATTTGTTCCGGCGTCTGTCGGATAAGACTTTAAAACCGATTTCATGTATCAGTTTAAGACTTTATCGGTATTTTAGAAAAAATCAAGTTTTCACGGTAGCATCCCGAATCAGTTTTCGCAAAATAAATGTTTTATTCAGAAAATTTCAGTTGCTTGCGAAAAATCGCGTACTCTGATGTATTTAGTTCAGGCGGGGTGTTACAGCTTGGTATCAGAGCGCACGTTTCTGCGTCTCTGAAAAGTTTTTCAGTCCAAAAAAAAAAATTTTCAAAAATTTTCAGAAAAACCTGAACCGTCACGCTCACGCCTCGCCGACTCCAGGTAAGTGCTGATTCAGTTTTTCAGTTATAAACATATTACTTTGTCTATGCTCAGAAATCAGTAATCAGACTTAGTTAAGATGCTCAAACCAAATTCGGACTTTAGAGTTCAGATATAACTCTAGAATTTAGGGCATTCAGATATGACTCTAGAAATTAGTATCTTCCGATATGACTATAGAGTTCCTCAGGATTCATGTCAGTCAAGTATCCGCCACTTTTGGCGACTCATGAAGAAATTTGCGTGCCTTAGAAATCAGTCAGAATATCATCATGTGTTCAATAATTTCGAACTCTCTCGATGTTCAGATGCCGCCACGTAGGGAACCCGATCATCCAGTTCCTTCTCAGGCTACAGTGGTCGCCCAGTTCCGCGACTATCATGCTGAGAAGTTCTCAGGGCAGGGAGATCCACGCGTAGTGGACGAGTGGATTCAGGGCCTGGAGTTTATCTTCGAGGTCATGGAGTGCCCTGAGAGATATAGCGTGGTTTGCGCACAGCTTCAGTTCACCGGAGATGCCAGACTCTGGTGGAACGCGTACTGGGGCATGCGTCCCGGTGAGAAGGCGGGATGTACGTGGGAGATGCTCAAGGAGTTAATCCGTGAGAAGTACTATCCCTCATACTACCGAGCAGAGATGGAGCGTCAG